CATATCATTTATTTATGGATGTCCTTTTGCTCCCTGGATATCTTAATCGGGAGCTCCGCTTTCAGGCAGTGCCTAAATCTGAATATTATAAAAACGTTAAATGGCGATCATTTAGGTGTAACGCCATCACTCGCCCACATATGTCAGACTTTCACATCTCAAACATTTATTTTCACATACAAAATTACACATCTAATTATCAAGAGTATATAATGGGAGTTCTCCCATATATACTCTTCGTTTCTATAATTTACGTCGATGGTTGTGTAATAAGGAAATTAATAATAATAAGAGTTAGTCAGAAAGGGTTAGTGACATGAAAGTGGAGACAAAGGGCTTTGTCTCAGGCGGGCCGCAGGGCTTGGGCGTGTCTATCTCCCGCCAGTGAACCAAGAACAACGGAAGGGGTTAGTCACGTGCTTGCCCAGTGGTCACGCGGGTGGCGGGGACCAATGGGAGAGCAGGACGTGAGACAAAGAACGGGCATTAGTATAAAACAGTCAGAGCTGAAGAAACGGTGACTACTATCTTGCCACCTGTCCGTGTGCAGTCCGGTAGTCTCGCCGTGGTGCACCGGTAGCGGCGCGGTGCGGTCGGCCGGCGGGCCCCCCGGCGGCCGTGCGGTGCGCCGGTAGGCCGGCTAGTGCCGTCGGTGCAATTGCGGTGATAGGTCGATGGTTGCTTAATTAAAACTGACTTCTTCTCACTCACTCATTTGTGTCCTTTTTTGTGGTGAGCTACAGTGTCATTGACACTTTCATTATTAATTTATAGCATTAATGAGCAATAGCCTACATTACTGTTTTACCTGAGGGATATCACACCATAATTTATCAACATTTTACAAATTTGAAATCGAGAATGCAAGCGTGAAACATGACATTGACAAAAACACTTCGGACATCATTCGCGATCTGCATTATAGTTTATTCAACAGCTACTATGCGATGCCGCACACTACAACATTTTGCAGACAAGCAAGAGTCAGTGAAACAGTCTTGTCTTTATTTTTGGAAAAAAAAATAATTTGTGAGGGCTGGTAAATAACTGCTTTTACCAGGGCTGGTGCAAACAAATCTGAATTTCATGCCCTGCCATATCAACATGAACCAAAAAACAAAATTTGTGAGGGCTGGTAAATAACTGCTTTTACCAGGGCTGGTGCAAACAAATCTGAATTTCATGCCCTGCCATATCAACATGAACCAGTGCATACTGAATTATATACTGTGTGTACTCGCTAATAATAGCTTTGTGGTATTGACAGAAGGCAACTTTGAAATCGTTGCTGTGCATGCCCATATGAAATTATATCTAATTTCTAATTTGTTTAACCAATTTTGTGTTGGCTGTGAAATTAGAATTATGTTATCAGAAGTGAATAATTGCAAATTGTAAATGAAAAAAATAATAAAACAAAAACAAATGTGTTTTTCTGCACTCCTGACGGTATGCACCAATTTCTGATGCATGCAACTTTGTGTGTTTGTAGGTGTATCAGGACAATATATATGCACCAGACAGGGAGTTCCACTCATTCAAGAAGGTTATCAGTGAGATGGGTGGTGAATACGCCAAGCAGGAGCTAGCTTCCTTCCACTCTGTATCAAAGGGATACATGGGAGAGTAAGTCATGTTCTGCAGTTATAAGCAACAGTTGCATGATCACTATATATGTCTAATGCCCAAGCATAAAATCTCTGCAATCTAAGATGGCACAGTGCAATTTTGAAACTGTACATCATCACCTTAAATGACTAGTGTCGAGCTTTTAAACCTCAAAATAACTCAAGATTGTAATATTCCATGTATATAACACGGAAATTCACCTATTTGAAATGTTGGATGAGATTGTAGCTATGTGCAATATTTCTTGTCTACTTGGTTCAGCAAATCTTATCATTTACAACCTATCAACCTAAAAAAAAAAGTTATAAGTTGAATAAGTTGAATATAATAAAATGTCGGTGGAGTTTATTTATTAAATAAATTTCTGCTACAGGTGCGGCTACAGAGGGGGCTACTGTGAGTATGTGAACTTCCATCCAGAAGTTGTCGCCATGCTGCGAAAGTCGCTAACGGCAAAACTGTGCCCATCCGTTTCTGGACAGGTATTATTTGCAACATTATGAGTAAAATACCAATCTACTGGGCTTCCTTTCCTATATCAAGCTTGTTGTTGCTAAATATCACACTTTCACATTCACCTACTTTTGAGTGCTAACAACTTTAGGTGGTTATTTAATTATTTTTTAGCTCATCTGACGTAGTCGGATGCAGCTTGTAGAATCACATGATTGTCCGTCTGTGCGTCCGTTCGTCCGGCCGTCCATGCGTCAACAGTTGGGCACAAATCTTAAACGCTCGACGTACGGTCACGATATTCGGGAAGTGGGAGGGGGGGGATCGTGAAAAAGACTCGCGATGATCAATTTGGGGGTCAAGGGTCAAAGGTCAAGATGTGTAAACAGAGGGGGAATATTTTCCCCTTAACTTAAGGTATAAGAGGAAATACGGAATTGCGGCACAAATCTGAATGGCTTGACCTATGCTCTTAATATTCGGTGTATAGTGTGATGGGCAGTAAACCCATCACCAGTGCGAAATTGGAGGTCACAGGTCAAAGGGCAGTTGGGAAAGGTCAGATTCTGAGGACATGGCCTAACGGACAGAGTGAAAAACTTTTTTGTTTCAGCACTGACCTATCATTTTTATCACTTTATTGAAAGGACCATGAAATGTGCTTTCCACTGACGTGCGAAGAGTAAGTGTCTGATAACCGTTTGACCCTCAAGAGGAGGTTAAACATGGATTGTGTTGACGTTTAACAAGAGACTGAACTGTGTTTGATGTACTTGTGTGAGGTCGTGGAAAGCTTTTAATTGTCAGCGTAGTGAAATTCTGCGTGCAAAACTTACTTAACAGAAGTTTACGCGTCCTTAAATCATGATATGAACTTTCATTCTCTTATATGAGATCTAGTACTGCTCCGGGGAATACAATGGTCAATAGCACTCTACAAAGCGTCTGTTTTTTGATTACTTGCCAACTATAAATAGGCCTACCTTCGCAGGTGCCTGAGTGGGTGGGCTGTATACACAGCATGGGCTAAACCATAATTCGGATTCATCTATTGCTTGCACCTAGTCATAGTAATGGCGATGCATTCTATCGAATAGAGTGAGAAGCAATGTCCTGGCAGGATAAGGCCGAAATGTTATGTTCTGTCAAGAGGCAGAAGACTTTACTGTTGTAGACCTTCCTTTAACCATCTTGAATAATGTAATTGCCAGAAATGGATCATCAAACCGCTACCAAGAACATTGTGCCGCAGTTTTGTACTTCTTGATGTGGCTTTCTCCGTCGACGTTACAGTATGTGGGCAATGCTCGGGAATATGGTGGAGCATGCGCTGGTTGTGGACACTGCATGAGCCCGATGGTTGACTGTCATTCGAGAATGTTTGATGCCCTCTCCCCGACATTGAGAATCTGTTACGTATATACAGTGCCGGTCTGCCTTACGCGTCTGACCGGTCCATCTCGTCAAAAGTTGTGGACGCCGTGCGCGGTGAATCGAAATGATACATTTTAATACGATGACGTAACTGATACAGTAGCGCGCCGCGTGGGTGTTATTTGTTTATAAACAATTTAGTCTGACTGACTCTCTCCCTATCTATCCTCTCGCCCGCTCTCTCTCTCTCTCTCTCTTTTTCTCTCTTGCCCCCCCCCTCTCTCTCTCTCTTCCTCTCTCTCGCTCTCTCTCTCTGCAATAAAAAAATGTTTGCTGAAATGATGTGTACGCAACTGCGTATCTGCATATCTGTGCCTAACAAAGGTGTCACTACGCACGACTTAAATGTTACGTTTATAACCGTAGAAACAGACCTCAGATGAGCCCAGATGCTCTGCGGCTCTTGTTTAAATTTTTATTATTATTTTAGGTGGCCATGGATTGCGTGGTAGGTCATCCCCAGCCAGGTGATGCATCTTATGAAAGCTGGTTAAAGGTTTGTTTTTCTCCCCACATTTTACATGCATCCCTATTTTGTCTTTACGAAAACATATTTTCCTAGTACGTGGTGTTTCCTGGCTAAAGATTTTTGGTCGTATGTGTGGTTATTTTTGGATACTTGTGGTGGGTTTGCAGGAGAAAAATGCCGTGCTTGGGACACTGAAGGAAAAAGCAAAGATGACAGTCGAAAAACTGAACAGCCTGCCCGGAATCAAGTGCAACATCGTGCAGGGAGCCATGTATGCCTTCCCACGCCTCTTCCTACCAGAGAAAGCAATCGCAAAGGCAAAGGTAGAGACATATTGGGTGTTTTTCTGTAGACAATAGAACGGCATTCGATTCCATACCCGTTACTTCGTGTTGAAATTGGTGGTTTTTACAGCTCATTTCCTCCGCGTTGCAAACGGAGGTCATGCAATCGCTCGCGTGTGTGTTCGTGTGTGTGTGTAGCCAGCAGCGAGCCAGCTGTTATACACACGCTCAACCGATCGATCAATTCAGCACCATCTCGCCTTAGGGCGTCCAGTCAGCAGCAGCTCGCCTTAGGGCGTTCAGTCAGCAGCAGCCAGCAGCGAGCCAGCTGTTATACACGTAACACATGTATACATGTTACACGTTCGCGGAGGTATGCACTCTCTTTGAGTGCCCTCTGTCTAGTTTCGATTGTTGCTGTGTTTTAACAAATAAGAAAAGCTCGACTGCTTGTGTTACAGGCTGAAGGAAAGGCTGCGGACTTTATGTACGCCTGGGAACTGTTAGAACAGAAGGGGCTGTGCGTCGTTCCCGGAAGCGGATTTGGACAGAAGGAAGGCACGTACCACTTCAGGTAACTACAGGGGCGTCTGCGTGTACAGTAACTGAGTTAGAGGACTGTAGTTTACTAATTATTCTAGCACGTGAAATGAGTGGTTGATTGATTTACAGTGTTATGTGCATGCGATTTTACATATTTATGTTGCATCCCCCTTACACAATGGTCTGTTAGTAACTTATTTATCTTGTGTAATTTTTCTTTAGGATGACGATTCTGCCACCACCAGCGAAGTTGGAAGAATTTTTGCGGAGGCTTAAAGATTTCCATTTGGAGTTCATGGAAAGATACAAGTAAACACTTGCACTCAGAAGCTCCACAACTTGCAACGATGCCCGTGCAGCTGCATCTTAGATGCTCTTCGTACGTCTGTGGGCCGTCATAGCTTTAGGCTTTGTGAATTTATACCATTATTCGTGATAGCTGCGTAGCACTGTGCTTAGCATGAAATATGCACCTCGTGACAAGTTGGTAGTGTTACGCTTCTTACAGCAGTAAGGCTTATGTGCCACTCACGATAGTTGCATGGGCTTGCCCCGGTGTCTGACAAGTTTAGAAAACACTCTAGGAATGTCTAAGGTCTATTGCGATATTCAAGTTTACAGAGGCACCTAGTCGTCCCAAGCAGTTTCATCATCACAATTCTATTGTATTGATGAAGAGGTTCTATTTGATTGCATAGTGTTAAATTGTTTGCTAAACCGGTTGTTGTTTTGTAGATAAAAATTGAAGCCTAGATGATGTATGGTGAAGTGATATGTAGTGGCAATACAATGTATTAGTCAATACATGGTTCCTTGCGCTGAATTTATGCACGTACCAATTGTTTTTTACTATAATTTTCTTGATTGTGGAGCTTTTGACGATCATTGGAAAGAGTGCATAACATCTATTGACACATTTATAGAACATGAAAATAGAACATTTATTGATACATTCAAGGACCTCAGAATAATATTAGGGCTGGACTGGTGTCATTTACCTGGTAGATACATGTGTGACTATAAGGTATGTTTGTTGTAGTTACTACAAGGTAGTTGATGGTAACTATTGTCATGGTACGAAGCGATGCATCTCCATTAAAACACAAGTACCCATTTCTCATGAAAACGGCTGAAGTCAATGCCAACACCAAGCTGGCTACTATATGAATACATCGATTATAATAAACCTATTGAGAATCGTTGTCTATTGCATTTACTGTCCATATTTATGATAATGGTTTGTTACTAGAGATTATAGAGATTGCAAATAAAGAAGTCTATCATTGTTTTAAGTTTCATCGACTATTGAAGTTGACGTGTTTGTAACTAGTAGCTTATGATTGTCATAACTAACCTAACTGTGGTAACAGCCCGACCAGCTAATCCTATAATGATTATGCCTGTGTGGACACTTGAATACGTTAAGTGCGGGTAATAGACTCGACAAACATGGCAATTGATCTTAGATGTACAAATGTACAGATGTCTCTACTTTATGCGACATACCGTTTTATATGTGACCTCATCAGATTGAAAAACTTCGATTACTTTACGATTTACTTTTACTTGGACACAAGTACAGTAATCTATATTCGTTTTTGATCGCATAGGTCACAGGCCAAAAGGATATATATATATATATATATCAAGATAGATAGATAGAAATGCATGAGCTTAAAAGCGTCAACGGATTTACGCAAGCGGTATTTCCTCGATGATCATGCGTGAGACGCTATCCCAGGAAGTGTAGCTGTCGCCGTGGGGGTGCTGTGCTGGATTCCTGCAGTCTCCCACGTACAGCTGTACGTTCACTATACCAGTAGACAGGCCATAACAGATGCCTTCAACTGTCAACAATACACAGTATATTATGAAGATGTCGAGTTCTGCGTAAGATATTTTAGCGCGGATGAGGGAAATACTGGCGCAACTATTGTTTGGAACCCCGAATCAAATTTTCGGAAATGGGTATTTTCGAAATACTCTCTGCATCCTTCATTGTCAAAATAAAAAAAGCAGCCCAATCACCAAGAATTCAAATGTTCCCCCCCCCCGCCGCATACTTATCGCGTTTTTTGGGAAGCACTTGGCGAACACAACGTACGATACGTACGTATCGAAGGCCTGTGTATGTTTAGTCCCTCCAGACTGCTGTAGAGTTGGGCGTCAATGCGGGCCGGGTTGCCACACTCGTTGCCGTTGAAGGCGATGTGCCAGCGACTGCACAGCTTGGCTCCGGTCCTGATGTTACGAATGCTGCCTATCCATCTGACGTGCAGCCCGGTGTCATCCCTCAGCTTTGTAATGCTGCATTGCTAGGAAATGTGAATGTAAGCAGGACTTGTACGCGAATATTTAAGTTATACTTGCGGGGGGTGCAGAGTAAACTGCGATGAAGGTATTTAAAAATGAAACAAAACATCTGATATGGTGCATCACAACCAATCTTGCACTAAGTGCAATTTCCCTAAAGAATACTTGTGATTCTCACATGCCTAGCTATAATGAACGTGATTAACTGCATTTCGGTGTAAGTAACCAAGATGTGTTGAGTGGTGATATAGATATGATACTTGCATGAACCAATCCGCTATCTTTTTCGTCGCCAGCATTATCCCACGTGCACTGGTGAATCTTCCTAGCCGCACACGCTGGGCATTCAGCTGGAGCGGCCCTCACTCCCGCATTACCTTTCTCACCTGTGGCTCCCATGTTACCCGGAAGGCCTGTAATGTAAGACTTTCGTTACCGTTACTTCCAGTCTAAATGATTTCGAAATCATTGCTCAAAAACGCACAATCTGAAAAAATATATAGCGAACCTCAACCGAGTGTGCATGCGAACAGCGGTAGCCGCCTAGAGATTTTCTACACTACAGGGAGTTTTCACGGACCCACGGTGACAAGACTCATCTCTGTAATTGCTCTTTACAAACCCTGGTCGCCTTTCTCACCCTTCTCCCCATCTCGTCCCGGCAAGCCGTCTCTTCCATCCGTCCCGGCAGCGCCTGGAAGGCCATCTCTTCCACCCGTCCCGGCAGCGCCTGGAAGGCCATCTCTTCCATCCGTCCCGGCAGCGCCTGGAAGGCCATCTCTACCGTCCCGCCCTGGTGCCGGCCTCTCCTGCCAAATTGCGCTATATCGTCATTGATACCCTATTATCGTTTACGGGATTCGATTTTCCATAAAGTATGCCAATGGTCGTTTGTTTATTGGCAATTAAATGGCTGAGGCGTTTGCGCTGTGATACATTCAAGGTTGAATAATCGCAATGTTATGTCGGATGTTATGCCAGGAAGGGTGCAGCAGTTGGAGCAGAAGGCTGAAGTAAGTCAATTATGCGCTTTAAAACGGAATAAAAGTGTAATATAATAGATTAATAGAATGCAAGTAGAGTCGACGATATTTACAGGGTATATTTGATAGAGCGCTAGTACAGTTTGTTTTAAGGGAAGGTGAAATCATTCATGACATAAAATATATACATTCGCGATCGTGTTATTAATTTGTACTCTCCATGGCGGTGTAAAATATATGCACGCATAGAATTAGAATGGTCCTACTCACCACACACTGGAGAGGCTGGGTCGGAATATCAGGAACAGCATTTGCACCTAAACACGCACACAGCAACAGTAAATTAAAACATACAAGTATGGTCTGCATCATTTTACGCTAGAAACACGAGAAGCGCATTAGAAGGATAATCGACATCTGTGAGTGTAGCAGTGCTACGCGAAAAGCACGGGATATTCGCAGCGCGATGACATCTTGCTAAACTTGAACGCGGTTAAGAATAGCTACATCGTGACCGCCTTTGGTTTTCTAATTGCGTAGTTAGGGCGTGGCCCAATCACCAGCCAGCTCTTTGGCCATGTGACCCTGGTTTGATATCAAGTTCGATATAGAATTTATTCACAGCTGGCTCAGCTTCCCTCGCCCATAGCCACAGCACTATGGTCAGGAGATACGCCCCCCCCCCACCATGACCATATACGCGCGATGGAAAAAACCCAGTTCGTGCTGCAACACGTAGCCAGTTAGTCTTAGCATAGATATTAACCCCTTGGGTTAGTATCTATGGTCTTAGTCAGTCGTAGTATAAGCGAGTCAGCGAGATAGTCACGTAGTCAGACGTTGTAGTCACACGTAGTGAAGAAGAACTTATGTGTGCTGTAAAACATTACCTAGTCTGTATTTAGTGATTCTCTGAGTAGAATAAAATCATCTAATCTGTTACAACAAATACGTGTTATCCAGATGAGACGGGATACTAGAGAAGCGTTGCCAAAAGCTGTTGATCCGAAGCGCTGAGCGCAGATGTGCGCGCAGTTCGCGGAAGGCGCACGGCGACGCGCGGAATAGTCGTAGCGACAGTATGCAGCGCTGGCAGCTATGTCCGTGCGCCGAGTGCGTAGGGCGCGCACGATCCATAGCTGCAGCGAGCAGTCGGGAATTTTTAGGAGAATAGAAGAAAAGAGCTGAGAGTTTTTCGACTTTCATACTGCCGCTTACATTAACTGCCACTCTCTTCTTTCTTCCGAATCCGACACCGATCCGATTCCGAAACGCAAACACGAAACAAAACAACGGGTTAAGAACAATACACAACGCAAGACTTGTAACCTTACGACCTATACGGTCACGTGCCTACCCACAGTCGGCATCCCCCGACGTGTCTCATGAATCTTCTATAACACTGGTACACCCATAACACTTGTACGATACGCAGAACGCTTGTATATGAGTTTATGTATAGCGATGATGGAGTTATACCAATGTGGACTTTGGATACAGGAAATTTATAGGATGTTATAAATTCTACACACGATGGATAGGTACAAAATATTTGTTTAGATTTATAACGTTTTACCTACCGTTACAACTATAGACAGCTGCGAAGGTAAACACTGTGAAACTGTCAACAAATAACAGTGTAAAACTGTTATTTCACACGGTGACGCGTGTTATTCATATTGTAGTTAGGGTCTCTATATACAGAGAGTTGCGAGCATGACGAGTCGGAAAAAATCGGTCAGCGTGATCGCTGGACGCCATGTTGTTTCCAAATGGATCCAACCGCTGCCGCTCAAGTACAGCGCTGTGTGCATGGATACGCTGTACAATGGTCCGTAGTAATTAATTAGACTATCGTGCTTCAATATAACTCAAAAATCATATTAATCTTCACAGATTATAGCTAAGACTGTGTCTATGTGTATCTAGATTTCTGAAATTTACTCAATCGTTCGCGCTATATGATAGTTTAATTATACACTTTCTTACCGTCCATAGCCGTGCGCGTATATTAGCCGTAGATACTTGCTTTAATTAATTAACACTCGCGCTTTAATAAACTCAAGAATCACAGAGATCATAAATAACACACGTGTACTTGCACACGCACGCACACACTCATGCGCACACGTGTACGTGCACACGCACGCACGCACACACGCACACACGCACGCACGTCTACGTGCACATGCACACGCACACGGCAATGCACGCACGTTACATACACACGCACGCACGCATGCATAATAAATCGGTAATAATCGCTATAGGGTGTTGTCGTGTAAACGCTCCATAATCGCTAACTCGAGTTAAGGTTCGTCGCGGTAGACGAGGCACAGTGTAGATATAGGGTCCCTATATACAAAGGATATACAGGTAATTAAGGGATATAATATAATAGGATGTAAGTGTAGACACATCGCACAAAGCGACGCAAAACAACGCACACGGCGCGTGCACGCGCGTGTGCTTTCTCCTCGCACAACCAGAACCTGTAACATCAATGCAGCCGCAACAAATGCGCGACGCTGTGTCTAGATAGACTTAGGGTCCCTATCATTACAAATGGGATAATTTGTATATAGGGACTCTAGATAGACTATTACTACAACAACCCCTAGTCTAGCTCCACTGACTAATTCATGCAACACGTGAAAAACACATGTTACAGCTGCGAGCGAGTGGAGAGTGGAGCGCATTTATTTTGTGAATTACAGAATTGTCATATTCTTCTAAAATGACTGGCTGCTGTGCTTATGGGTGCAATGGGTGCAATAAATATGTTGTATAATAAAGCGCGAGTGGCTTGATTAATTATAGCAAGTATTTACGCGCGTTATCGCACAGACTAATATACACACGGCTATGGACTGTAAGAAAGTGTACAATTAAACTATCATAATATATTATTACGGCGCGAACAATTTGAGTTAAATTTCTAGAAATCTAGATACATATAAACACATGTGTTATCTATGATCTCTGTGATTTTTGAGTTTATTGAAGCGCGAGTGGTTTAAGTAATTATAGCAAGTATCTACGCGCGGTATCGCACAGGCTAATATAAGCACGGTTAAGGGCGGTAAGAAAGTGTATAATTAAACTATCATATGGCGCGAACGATTTGAGTAGCATTTATAGAAATCTAGATACATACAAACACATGTGTTATCTTTGATCTCTGTGATTCTTGAGTTTATTGAAGCGCGAGTGGTTTAATTAATTATAGCAAGTATCTACGCGCGGTATCGCACAGGCTAATATACGCACGGCCATGAGCGGTAAAAAAGTGTATAATTAAACTATCACATGGCGCGAACGATTTGAGTAACATTTATAGAAATCTAGATTAACATAGACACATGTCTTAGCTATAATCTCTGTGAATTTTGAGTTTATTGAAGCACGATTAGTCTAATTAATTATTACGGACCATTGTACAGCGTATCCATACAGCGCAGTACTTGAGCGGCAGCGGTGTGGATCCATTTGAAAACAATATGGCGTCAAATCCTGGGTGTCGCAACTCTCTGCATATAGGGACCCTAATTGTAGTGGCCCTAGGGGTGGACACACTAAACTTTCACACGTGCTGTGGTTAGCACGTGTAATTTATTTGTGTCGGGATCATTTTCCGCTCCTACCGTGAAGGTAGGAGCGGTGATGCAGTAGCAAAGAAAACCGCAGAAGACGTACGGGTGATGCAGTAGACGGTGTGCAGTAGCAAGAAAAACCCAGAGTGAAATGAACGCAAGCATTAGATAGTCTTTATACAACGGATGGTTTTATTCATCGTATACGAATAACATTTACAGCACGTATCTCAAATATAGCCTATATATATATATATATATATATATATATATATGTATATATATAATATATTACTCATGTCACGTTTACGTTACCTTGTTAGGTTATTACACGTTTAACTTAACTCTTAGCTATTCTACGGGTTAATATTGTAGCCCCGCGCGCTTCTCGTCTGTCTCTCCCCGTCGTGTGCGCCGCGGCTCGGCGCGAGTTCGTGGGTTGGCAGTGTGTCTCGGACTGTCTCCCTCTCCGGGGTAGGCTATAGCTCCGTTTGTATAAGGTATACCTTCTCGGGCGTAGTCCTGCTCGTGGGTAGCTCTCCCTCCGACGTGTGTGTGCGCTCCCTCGAGCGTGTTCGTTTGTTCGTTCGTTCGTTCGTTTCTTCGTTTGCTCGTTCGTTGTTCGTTCGTTCGTTCGTTTGTTCGTGGCCGTCCGAAGACCGTCTAATTGCGTCGTTAGGTTTAGAAAACGCACTCTAGGAATGTCTAAGATCTATTGCGATATTCAAGTTTACCGAGGCATCTAGTCCTCCTAAGCAGTTTCATCATCACAATTCTATTGTATTGATGAAGAGGTTCTATTTGATTGCATAGTGTTAAATTATTTGCTAAACCGGGTTGTTGTTTTGTAGATAAAAATTGAAGCCTAGATGATGTATGGTGAATGATATGTAGTGGCAATACAATGTATTAGTCAATACATGGTGCCTTGCGCTGAATTTATGCACGTACCAATTGTTTTTTACTATAATTTTCGTGATTGTGGAGCTTTTGACGATCATTGGAAAGAGTGCCAATAGAACATTTATTGATACATTCAAGGACCTCAGAATTACGGCTGGACTGGTGTCATTTGCCGAGTAGATACATGTGTGACTATAAGGTATGTTTGTTGTAGTTACTACAAGGTAGTTGATGGTAACTATTGTCATGGTACGAAGCGATGCATCTCCATTAAAACACAAGTACCCATTTCTCATGAAAACTGCTGAAGTCAATGCCACACCAAATGAATGAATAGTAAAATTTTAATTTGAAGCTGGCTACTATATGAATACATCGATTATAATAAACCTATTGAGAATCGTTGTCTATTGTATTTACTGTCCATATATATGATAATGGTTTGTTACTAGACATTATAGAAATTGCAAATAAAGAATTCTATCGTTGTTTTAAGTTTCATTAACTACTGAAGTTGACGTGTTTTGTAACTATATAGCAGCTTATGATTGTAATAACTAACCTAACTGTGGTAACAGCCCGACCAGCTAATCCTATAATGATTATGCCTGTGTGGACACTTGAATACGTTAAGTGCGGGTAATAGACTCGACAAACATGGCAATTGATCTTAGATGTACAAATGTGCAGATTTCTCTACTTTATGCGACATTCCGTTTTTTATGTGACCTCATCAGATTGAAAAACTTCGATTGCTTTACGATTTACTTTTACTTAGACACAAGTACAGAAATCTATATTCGTTTTTGATCTCATAAGTCACAGCCCAAAAAGAGATATATATAATTATATATATATCAAGATAGATCGATAGATATGCATGCGCTTAAAAGCGTCAACGGTTTTATTCAAGCGGTATTTCCTCGATGATCATGCGTGAGACGCTATCCCATGAGGTGTAGCTGTCGCCGTGGAGTTGTGCTGGATTTCTGCAGTCTCCCACGTACAGCTGTACGTTCACT